GAAATTTTAGCTGAAATTTGGTATGAGTAAACTAGACTTAATTAAGAAGATGCTCATAAAATTTTATCAAAAAATTTCACTAGAAAACCGCCCCAACTGGCGATGATCGGACACAACCTCCTATAAAAGGGCTTATGTGCACTTTTTATGTAAGTTCGAGGGCTTATTTGATAGTTCTCCTTTGAAAACTATTAATGTGGTAAATGAGTATCTTTTTACAAATGGTTAAAATTATTTTTCCTAGTATTAATATATAGCTTAAGATTTAGATTTTTGGAATTTTCTTTTTTTTGAAGGAAAACGACTATATTGATATCATTAGAATCAGGATCGTTACAATAATCTCAAAATGATCAGAACTAGCAACAACCTTCACCTTCCAACTACTACTTTTAGCCCTACGATTAGACATATAGAGACGACCACCCCTAAAGGAGCAATACAAATCGCTAACCACCAGACGGGCTTAATGCAGCTATTGCTGAAAAAATAGATCTTTCCCCCACTAACAATATCAAATCTAGCCGAACCCTCGATTAATGTAAAAAACATATTACCATAAGCAAATACTAAAATCAAAAAGATAGCAACGAATTTCTTCGAAAACAGACTAAAAATGGGGATAATGAATTTAAGCAGGATAAAATTATTGAGCTGCTGAACCCAATCTTTCAACGCGGTGTTCCGACCCCTAATCACCCATTTCCGGTATGGCGACGATTCAGGAGGGGGCGGATCTTCATTCCTTCAACACCCTGATCTGCCCGTGATTCGCCTCCATGACTCCATCTCTTGGCCAACATACCGCAGCAGCACAACCAGTCCAAATGTGAACAGTCTCCAGATCCACCTATCATCTCCCCTATGCTACAATTGAGATTCACCAAGACCCTTCGATCCCCACTGGTGCAAAATTACCTTTTTGCGGCGCTTAAATCACCCAACGTGCGGCGCTTTCAGGCGCCGCAAATCTCGGTGCCGCAATTTAACGCGTGCGGCGCTTAATTTCAAAAAGCGCCGCAAATATTTTATTTTTAAAAATATATATATTTAATATATGTGCGGCGCTTTTTTGCGTATAGGCGCCGCAAAATATTTTTTTAAATTAATAATTTAATGCGTAACTGTGCGGCGCCTTTCTTTATATAAGCGCCGCAAATATTTTTAAATAAATTAAATTAATTTCTTTTTTTAACTTTCGCGGCGCCTTACACAAATAAGCGCCGCAAGTTTTCAACATTTTTTAAAAAATTCAATCATATTTAGGATCTTTCAAAAACGTCCTGGAACAGAATTAACAAAATACCAAAAGTGTAAAGTTTTTAAAGTCATCACAATATCAACAACATGAACTTCACAAATTACAAAATCAGCAAAGTGTAAGCAATTCAAGTAACCAACAGATTACAAAAATCTTCATAAAAATGATTTCAAAAAACACTTAACACAATACATAACCAATGTAATCAACTTTTACATATTTAAGAGTACATCCAAGAAAAATCGTGCCCATATATTGCGAATGTTATTAAACTCATCTTCAGAATATGCCTCAGTTCTTGAATACCAATCCTACAAATATTTAGATAAAATAAAACATAAATAAAAAATATTACAACTTTTAAATTAGAAAAAATTAAACGAAGTTAAAAAATAAGAATAAATAATGATATACCTTTCCAATATCAAAGCTATCAACATACGAAATCACTTCCCATATGTATCGCATGGTATAATATCCGCATTCTGTGTTTTCGTTTTGTCTGGCACACTTTTTTGAAATACAAATTTACAAAATATATGTATCAAAGTTAATGGTGATTGAAATAAGTTATTGATGAATTTACCTTAACATTATGCCATGTGATTGGCTTTCCATCACCATTTCTTGCGGAAGCAACTCTGTATGCTCTACATTAAAAAATTTATGTTATATGATATAAATAATAATAATAATAATAATAATAATTCTATAGCAATTAAATAAATAAAAAATATTAAAAGAATACTTACAATGCTAGATCTTTCTGAATGGTGATATTAGAAAAGCTTGGGATTGAATTGAAGATATAGCCTTTATTAACCGAGGGGCAAATGACTATCAATATCCAATGAAAAATTGAGAAGTATTTCTCAAACCATACATCCAGCTGCTACGATCCATGATTAACAACACTAAACTTTACCTAAAAATAAAAAAAAAAATAATAAATTATTGCATACTTTTTTTCTTTTTAAGCACACTTTTTATGTAAGATTGCAATTGAGGGTTATGCTAATATAAAACAACCTCTTGGAAGTATTTTGCTACTCATTACAACTATTCCAAAATTATATTACTCAAAATTAATTAAAATAAAAAATATTGAAAAATTTTATTACTAAAAAAATATACATACCTGCGGAGGTTGGAGTAAGTGGACCGGAGGAGCGGCGGAGGTTGAGCGGAAGAAGCGGCGGAGGTGCGACGGCTGGGTCACGAGGGTGCGCACGGCTGGAGTGAGCGGCGGACGACCCTCGACGGCTTCGACGGCAACGAAGGTGAGCGGCGGACGGACGACCCTCGACGGCTTCGACGGCAACGAAGGTGAGCGGAGGAGCGGCGGAGGTTGAGCGGAGGAGCGGCGGAGGTGCGACGGCTGGGTCACGGACTAGGTGCGACGACGGCGCGGCCGGCCTTAGGGTTTATCCCAACTGAAACGATTTCTCTGCTGCGAGCGACCGGCTATGGCCGCATAAACTGGAACAGTTTATGCGGCGCTTTTTGAAAAAAGGCACCGCACGCCCCTTTTTAAAATCCGAATTTTTTAAAAAAATAGTTTATTTTCTGCGGCGCTTTTTAAATATAAGCGCCTCCTAGGAAACCGGAACTTTTTGCGGCGCTTTTGCATATAGGCGCCGCACGCCTCTTTTTAAAATCCGATTTTTTAATAAATTAGTTTATTTTTGAATAAAAATTTGGCGTCGGTCTGCGGCGCTTTTTAAATATAAGCGCCGCCTAGGAAATCGGAACATGTATGCGGCACTTTTTGCATATAGGCGCCGCACGCCTCTTTTAAAAATCCGATTTTTAAAAAAATTACTTTATTTTTGAATAAAAATTTGGCGTTGGTCTGCGGCGCTTTTATAAATAAGCGCCGTAAAGACCCGAAACATAAAATAATTAAAAAATTAAATACATATTAGAGGCGCTTAGAGAGAAAAGCGTCGCACGTCGTATATTTTGAAGGCGCTTGTTTTTTAAGCGCCTCAAATGACGTGACGCAATTTAACAAATTTTTACTAGTGTCTGAATGCTCCCACGCCCCACCCTGTGCTTCAGATGAGGAAAACTAGCAAAATTCCGGAATACTGAAGCACCAAGAAAGCTATGGCACCGTCCGCTGAAAACCTAGACTTGCCAGGACAGCCGCCGCCGTGAACCTAAGCCCTTCGTTTCTCCGAAGCGGTGAGAGAAACCCTAAAAGAAAAACATTTTTATTCCTTGACCCGTAGTGGCCTAGCTCCGAAGGATGGAATATTGTTTTTGGAATTTTCTTAAAAAATGATTTTGAATCGTAAAGAGATAAATTCATATTTTGAGATAGTTAATGAGTGAATGAGATTATTTTGTCGAAATGTATATATATGTATACATAACTATAGAAAATCCGAATATACATAGTACGGAGTACTACGTATCTCGTTTGTAATATCAAAAGTGATGAATTGGTGTAGATTTCACAAGGGTTTCATTATTTAGAGTTCGAGAAGGCCAGATTACAATATTCAGAATTGATGATAGGTAAATGTTGTTAGGGTTAAGGTAACGATAAATTAAAGAACTAGAAGACAAGAGTTTACGTGGTTCACACAATCAGCGCGTCAGGGTTTACAAGTACAACGAGGATGTTTAAATAGATCTCAAAAAACCTAAATGAAAACAAGAGCCTCAGGCCCAAAATAAAAATTCGCACTTCTATTTTTCCCACATACCCGATCGGGTAACACACCATACCCGGTCGGGTATCAACTCAGAAAGCATACCCGGGTAGATACTAGGGCGGGTATCGTAACCAGAGGGCTCCAGGGCTAAAATCTTCAATATACCCGATCGGGCGTAAATCTCATATACCCGACCGGGTAACCATTCCAGTAAGTTACCAGGCCAAAAACTGCCTCATACCCGATCGGGTAACCTACTCTACCCAATCGGGTATCTGTTGTTGCTGCAAAACCAAGGCTCCGTCTTCAACAAATGTTTTCACCCATCGCGTATCAATTAGCTTGCAATTCTAGGCCTGTTTTCATAAACAACGAATATTGCAGAGTAATTTAATTTGGAAATTTCATCCCATCCATTCCGTATAATTTTTGTGAAATTTGTAGCTCATATCTTTTATAGCCCTTGTTCCGAAAAGGTTGACCAAAGTTGACTTTCGCGTGGATTAATAAAGTAAAAACTGTGTGGTTGAAATTTGTGCAGAGGAGAGAGTTAATTTTAGGCACATATTCCTTACTTTAAATGAAAATGACAAATCTTTTTGGGACATTCAAAAAAAGGAAATTTGGCCAACCATTTCGGGACGGAGAGAGTATTATTTGTGTTTAGATTCTTTAGTCTCAAAATGAGTTACGTAGTATTTATCTTAGACCTGGCACCAAATATTTAGACAATACATATCATTTCTGAAAGATACAAGTTTTACATTTTAATGAGGGTATTTTTATATTAATTAATAAATAAGTATTTTCATATATAAACAATTCATGTACAAATTAATAAATATATATACCATTGGTGTTAGCTTTAACATCTTGATCTATAAATCAAACATGACACAAATTTAATAATTAGGATTATTTAAATATCATCTCATACTTCGTATTTTGGATTTTGGTGTGTGAACTCGAATTGTTTATAACAAATAGGGGCGAAATCAAATACGGATGTTCCAAAGGATGTAAACTCATTTTTCCCTTTTGTATATATATATGCACATCTCCCTACCCACCCCTCTAATTAACATTAGACACTTGCAACTTTCTGTCCAGAAAAACATTTCGTGTTCTCTCCTCAACTTGAACCATTATCGGTCTACATTTATAGTATACTATCATCATATTTTTAGTATTTATTCCACATTATATTATACTCCCACAATACAATGACAAGAAGAAGGAACATATCTATGCGGTTGTCGCCGGTGAGAACTAATTCCGGCCGCTACGGCGATCTATTATTTCCCGGCAACTACGACGATGCCTCGCCTGGAAACAAAGACGACTTTTCCAATATTAGTAGAAGTTCATCCTCCGCGTCAACCTCGTCACGTCGAAGTACTTTCCGCACCGGTAATAACAGCCTTTCGTCCGCCGATAGCCCGAATAATAGCACCGACTCCTCCCCGGGGCGGAACCAATCCGGCTCCTCTACTTATACTAGTTCCCCGTGGAATCATGACCGGAAACCACCTCAATCGGCGGAGGACAATCAGAATTACCTGATCGGGTCGCTTGTTCGAGAAGATGGACACGTTTATTCTATAGCCGCTACGGGTGGGTTGCTCTACACGGGTTCGGATAGTAAGAATATCCGGGTCTGGAAGAACTTGAAGGATTATTCCGGGTTCAAGTCGGGTAGCGGGTTCGTGAAGGCGATTGTTGTGTGGGGTGAAAAGGTTTTTACCGGTCATCAAGACGGTAAGATCCGGATATGGGGAGGTGAAAGAAAATCGTATAAGCGGGTCGGGAGTTTACCCACCACAAAGGATTATTTCAAGAGCGCTATTAACCCGAAAGCCTACGTGGAAGTTAGACGGAAACGTAACGTTCCGTGGCTGAAGCACTACGACGCCGTTTCGTGCTTGAGCGTGGATGAAGAAAACGGGTTTCTCTACTCGGGTTCTTGGGATAAAACCGTAAAAGTCTGGAGACTATCGGATTCGAAATGTATAGAGTCCATCAAAGCCCACCATGACGCCGTCAACTCCGTCGCCGTTGGGTTTGGCGGCTTGGTTTTCACCGGCTCAGCCGACGGAACTGTGAAGGCTTGGAAAAAGGAAGTTCTTGGAGCGCGTGTGAAGCACGCTCCAACAGGCACGTTGTTGAAGCAGGATAATGCGGTGACGTCACTGGTGGTCAGCGCGGATTCAGGGACGGTCTACGCCGGCTCATCTGACGGGCTGGTCAACTTCTGGGAGGATGAGAACAAATTCATGGTGTATGGGGGAGTTCTCCGGGGACACAAACTCGCCGTCCTCTGCCTCGCCGCCGCAAGAAATGTAGTGATGAGCGGGTCGGCGGACAAGAGCATATGCGTTTGGAGGAGAGATGAAGGCGGGATCCACACGTGCATTTCAGTCCTGACTGGGCACACCGGACCCGTGAAATGCCTGGCCGTGGAAGAGGACGGTGAAGGGGAGGAGGAAGACGGCTCCGACCGGCGGTGGATAGTTTACAGTGGCAGTTTAGACAAGTCGGTGAAAGTGTGGAGAGTGTCGGGCTCGGAGCGCGCGCTGGAGTGTAATTAGCGTGCTTTTATGTAACGGTAAAAGTTAGTTAAATTTAAATCAAATAGTACAGTAAATTTGAATGCATGTAAAAGCTATAGCATGCACGTATATAGTAGTAGTATCCTAGTATGTAGTGTGAACAGTTGGGACAACAAATGATCTTCTTCTCAAATAAATGCTTCCATCCTATGCAATATTTTTCGATTAATGTAAATTGTTCATAATCTTAAGCGGAGTGTACTTTTGTGTGTGTGTGTATATATATATATATATATATATATATATATATATATATATATATATATATATATATATATATATATATATATATATATATATATATATATATATATATATATATATCCAACTATAGTTACTATGCATGTATAAGTTAGTGGTGTAGAATCAGGTCTGGTTCTATCCATATCTGGGCCTATGGGCGATACGCCATTTTGGGTCTATATCAATGACAAACAGTAAATCATATTTGGGCAATGAAGTTCATAAGATAAAGACGACAATCACTTTATTATTATATATAAGTTACATATTTGGGCAACAACAATAACACGAGTATCGAATAAAAAGAAAAAACATTACTTAAAACATTTCTCGTAGACCAATGTGAAGTAAATCATTAATAATTGCTGCATAGGCAACCTTCTTTCCACTAATAAATATGACAAACAATAAAATTGTCACATATAACAACAATAAATTTTCTTTTGAAAGGATAAATGAAAAGAAATATTACCACATATTAAATTCATAAGTTGGGAATTATTTATTGACCGTTGACACTACAAAAAAACACCTGCTTTGTCACGGATTTTGTTACGGACCGTAGTTCAAAAAATCCGTGACAAATGATTTTTGTACGGACTTTGTCACGGACAAAATCCGTGACACCAGGGGCGTGATAACGTTTTTGTCACGGACAGTAATCCGTGAGAGAGTTTGTCACGGATTTGTCACAGCCACCGTCCGTGACAAAACACTTCACCGGAACTCCATCGCCTTTTATTTGTCACGGCCACATCCGTGAATAAATTTTTTTATTTTTCAAAAAAAATTATTTATTTGTCACGGAAATACCCGTGACAAAGGTTTTGGAAATTTTTTAAAAAAGTTTTCGAAATAGAGTGGGCGGGTATTTGAAACGAGCTGAAAAATTCAAATTTTTTATGTTGTCACGGACATATCCGTGACAAAAAATTTTGAATTTTTTTGAAAAGATTTGTCACGGATCTGTCCGTGACAAATGCCCGGGAGCAAAAAAAGTATTCGCCGGAGTAAAAAACCGGTCGCCGGAGTAAATTTGTCACGGAACAAATCCGTGATAATTCTTTGTCACGGATTTTGTCACGGACGGTCCATGACGGACCTATCCGTGACAATACATTTTCATGACAAATCCCAATATTGCGTGACAAAGCCCGTGACAACTTTGTCACGGTCGTAATCCGTGACAAAAATCCGTGACAAAACGCGAGTTTTTTTTGTAGTGTGATGGGAGTCTAAGCTTTGAAGTCTCGGAATAATGGAGGTTTTCAAAGAGACAAAATGTTTGGCTGCCAAAAGGACTCGCGCAAGAAGATTGCAAATTTGACGTCCTCTAAAACTATTATTATGAACTCAAATATAGCTTATTGAAATTTGTAAACAAATGAATAATTAGGGTGAAATTTGAGAGAAACAGGCTCTAAAATAATTATATAAATTTGTTATGTTATAATTAAATTGAATAAAAAATCCTAAAATCTAAAAAGATGTGAGGACTGGAGAGACGTATCTTTTATTTATGCAGCAACAATTGTATTGCTTTTAAAAATTACAACCGATCCTGCTACAAATTAATGTATATATCCTGTTTCAAACTTGTCTCTATTTAAGACTCTTTATTTATGTTTTAAATTTTTAAATTGTCAACAAGATTAATCATTAGGTCTAAGTAATTGAACTTGAGAATAAAAAAAAGCCTACTCACACTATATATAAAGAAAAAAATTTGGATCTATTTTTTCTTTTATTTTTTTCGAGCCTAGGGCGATCACCCCTCTTGCCCCCTCAGAATCGGCCCTGTGTAGAATTGAATATAATGCAATCATGGTTACTGAAGTTACATAATAAGTAACATAAGTATAAGAACATTATTTGAATCAATTACTCCGATCCGTACTTTTTACATGGCCAAATATTTTTATTATTTCAAATTTATAACAATTTATGAAAAGATTTGTTTACCTTAGATCCCAGTATCCCACTTACCTTTTCTCTTGTAGTCGATTAGCGACACTTGGTTTTCTTCCGCCTTTTCAATATAATCCACTTCTTCTCTAATGTGAAGAAGGGTTCTACTTCTTAACGGCTAAATCCCTCCGCTTTCTTCTCCATTTTAATCCTGATCCTCCACGAATATAAGTACTTAGGATCGGAGTTCAATATATCTAATTTAATGTTTTGGACTCCATCCTTGAGACAACAAATGATCTACTCCCTCCGTCCCTTAAACTATGTCATCTTTCCTTTTTGGGACGTCCCAAAAAACTTTATCACATTCCCTTTTAATCAATTATTTTGTAGTTTTTGTTATTTATCTCTCTTCTGCACAAATCACAATTATTATTACACAATTTTAAATTTATTATTCTCCGTATCGATCAAATTTGACAAAGTTTTAAGGGACGAGTAGTATATTATTGTGATACTCTATGTTACTAAGAGTAATAGGAACGATTTTTCGAACATGTAGATCTAATTTGTCCTCGTATATTTATATGTTTGGCTTAATTTAACACAAAAAGTTATGGTCTGTAGCACATAGGTGGGGCTTAAATTAGCAGCCAAGGGCAATGCTCCAGGTGTTCGGCTGAAGAGGGCAATGTTCATAGCTAGTGCTCTATCATCCTAAGGTAGATTGGCAGATTTATATAACGTGGCGGCTTGTAATTGACCAAGACCTGTGCTTCTTCATTGGCACTTTATAACGTTGCGGCTTTGATTAATTATAAGTCAACGTCTGTCGATTTCACGCTTTCTCCCATCCGTCGTAGTTCCAAAATTTATTTTTCAAAGTAGATCAGAACTCAGACCTCTCGCAACTTCATAGTGCAAGAACAATTAGGCTACAGTGATCATTTGGTATAAGGTCGCATTTAAATAACTTTAACATATAGGATTAAATAGATTTTAAATTTTGACATTTACTTTTTTAACTCGTGCACTACTCATTCCTTTAGAATATTTTACTTCTTTCTCAAATAATTAAAAAATTTGTGAAAATTTTAATTTGAGTTATTCAATTAAAAAATAAAAACCCAATTAAAAATTATTATAAAAACGTAATTGGATATATGTATGTATAAAAAAAATTGTATTTTATAGGTTCGAGTTCAAATAAGATGCTCAATATCGAGCTAAACAAATAATGAAAATTGAAAAAAAATAAAAATAAATAAATAAATAAATGAATAAACGTATCGATGAATTAATAAATAAATTAATTTATTTATATAATTCATCTACTATTCTATTTTATTTATTTATTCATTTATTTTTCATTTATTAACAATAAATAAATATATAAATTTATTTTTTAATTCATTAATACGTTTATTAATTTATTAATTTTTTATTAAGTAAAACACACACAAATTGATGACATGGAATGACTAGCAATTATGTGGCATCCGTGACATGGCAGGTTGGATGACGTGGAAAAAATATCCTAGTTTGGGAAATAAGTTTAATAGTACCCAACTTTAGGAAATAAGTTTTGGAACTACTCTACTTTGGGAAAAAACTCCGCTTTAGAAAAACACCTTCTTTTGCATATAGACAGTACTTCCTCCGTTTTTTAATTGCAACCATCCATTTTTCACGCTTGTCAACGCACAAGTTTGACCATTAATATATTTTATTTTTTATTAGTAAAGAATTAAAAAAATCAGATTTAGAAAATTTACTGATGGATAGTCTACCCGGGGTATATATCCGAAGGGTTATTACGGGGAATAACTTAGAGAGAAGTCAGAGCAAGTAAGCAAAAGTAGGGAGAGAGTGTATTCAGTATGAATGCCGTTTTCAGCGTGGTTACAAATGAGGAAATGGGGTGCTATTTATAGTAGCAATAAATGCCGGACAGGGACACGTGTCAAGCGCTCATTGGCCGAGGGGTCACCTCAACTGGTTGGCGCTGGCAGCCGCATGTGGCCGCATTTAATGCGGCTGTTGGACGGGACGTCTGTGCGGGGCACAGTGATCTGTACGCATGTGAGGCGGATATCTTGTCGAGTGAGATGCCTTCGGCTATAGAGCAGTAGCCGAGGGCTCTTCCACCCGTGCCGAGGGCTCACAATGCCGAGGGCTACTGTTTTCGCCGTTTTCTCCCAGTTTCTTAATTTGCTTGAGAAACCCGTTCTGTGAGAATTTGGAGCCTTCGGCCAGGGGGCCGAAGGCGCCCCTGGCGCGTAGTGCGGACTGCTTGGTACTCTGGGCGCTGTGATTTGGGCCTGTTGGGCCTTTTGGGCCTTCGCTGGAGTAGTAGGAGTCTGTGGGCCAGGGGTTCCCGGGCCATATACTCCATCATTTACAATGAGAGGAATTTAAAAATATTTTTTTAAAAAATTAATTTATAATACATTAATAAATAAAATAATATAGTCAAAGTAGAATATGTGAATAGGGGAAAAAGTCCAATGGTGCAATTAAAAGAGAACAAAGGTAGTACGAAATATATCTTTTCAATAATTTAGTATTCGAGACCCATACAGATATAATAGTTTAATAATATATCCCACCAAAATTGTAGAGCAAATTTGATAAAAGTTATACAACTTCTAAATCTCTAGTAATGACTAGAAAATATACAACTTCTCAAAATATGACTACAAATCTCTAGTATGTTTAATATGACTAATTTGTAGGTAAAAGGCATACGGTGCCATAATACATCAGGAGTAAATATCATTAATACCCTTAACGGTTAGTTTTGTAAAACAAGTCTTCCTTCGTTTTATTTCTTCAAATAAGGAATCATGTATTTTTTTTTGGGTGGAGTCATCCATACGGATCATACATTATTTCATCCGGATTATAAAATTAACTTTTCTGTCCATGCACTATTTTCTCTAGTATTAAAATCTATTTGAACTAAATATACCACAATGAAGGGCAACAATTGCACATGCATGTGTTGTGTAT